ACAAACTTCAAAACGCTACAGAATATTTACTATTGAATATTAATAAGATATTTTTTTACTAAAATTTTTCTTAAATTCTACTCTACAAAATAGCTATCTTAGATTTTTTTTTTACATTTTATTTAAAATTTAAAAATAATTAATATTTTTAATAAAATGTAAAAAAATTAATTATTGAGATATAGCTATAGACCTAACATATAACTATTATTTAAAAAAAAAATCAACTAAAAATATTAACTGGATCAAAAGTTATTTAAGTTGTCAGTGAGTGGTGGGCCACTCTGTATACGAATAAATAAAATTTGGTTAAATTAAATCTGCAATAGATTGTTGTTATTATCTAATTTATAATTTTGCTTTTAAATTAATTGGTTTCAAAAAGTCAACAACTGTATAAATACTATGTACTCATAATAAAATTCTATCAATTATTTTATAAAAAATATGTATTTTTCTTAGTATGAATTTTTATAAAACTATTTAATTTTCTATATATATTTGCGCGTTATAATTACACACATATACGTTATTAAATGACAATATACATAACTAATTAGCATATTTAATAAATAATAATCTAATCAAGAAAATTATTGGCCTATGACAAATTTTGAATCAGTATTTCGGATGTTAATGATATTTTTAAATATAGAGTGTGTTTAGTAAATAAGGTAATAGGTTTCTACAGTTCTCATTGTTTGTAATAATTTACCTTTTTCCTTACATACTGAACAGTCTGTATAGGTGGAAGAGTACGGCCAGAAATTATTTATGATAAAAATAACATCTGCGTCTCACCTCCAGCCATCACTATATCCAAAAGTTGTTATCTACCAGCCATTTTCTTGATTAGATCATTATGTATTAAATATAATAGTTCATAATGTATGTGGCTATTTAAAAATATTAAAGTTGACAATCTTATAAGGTATATGGGATGAACATGAAAAATACTTTGATCAATTGAGAAACACATGTACCAAAAAGAAAATTATTAATAATAATTTCAATTTTTCGATTAATTAAGTAGTTTGTGATAAATGAATTACTCTATATATAAGATTGAAGAACATATTAAGACTTCTTTTTATAGAACAAAATTTATTCTTATCCATGTACAGCTTTTCCACTAAAAAATAAACAGTTTATATTGGCTTATTTCATCAATGTAATCAATAAAAGATCGAATTACATTCAAATCTAATCCATCGAAATATATTTTAAGTGAACTGATAAAGTCTTTTGTATTCTCAATACTAAATACGTCAACTGTTGTGTAAAAGTTAGAATCGTGTGTTGCATTAAACGTCGTTGATCATTGGGATTTGTCGTTAACTGCTCTCTCTCATTCATATATAAAAGTATTTCGGCCTCGATGTGGACTATATGCTTTACTTAAATATATGTATAATAACTACAAAAAACATAATTATAAACGAATTTTGAAATTTTATTTTTTATCGCATAGTGACGTGTGCGTGTCGCATTTTTCTCAGTTAAAGATTTCAACGTCTGTACATTAATACTAAATAACAACAATAAAAACCAGTGCGCTTATTTTATAATATACAAAAAAAAATTAATTAGTAGATCAAACAAGGTGTTTTGGCATTACATTATAAATCTTTACTAAGTTCGTATGCAAAATTTTCTGATAGAAGAAGTAATTTATTCATAAAACTATTAAGATAGAATATAACACTATTTAAGTGGAATAAGTTCTCAATATATGATTTTATGATGGAAATGTATAAAACGTTGTTGGGGAGCAACAGACTTAATAATTCTTCAAGTATTTCTAACCATCTCATAGTAAAATCTTTAAAATTCTTAGCTTCTTGATTTAACAAATACATGAAACGCTGAACGATTAATCTCAATATGATAATTTGTATGAAATCAAAAATGGACGTATAGTACACTTTAAATGATAAAAAATGGTGACGCGATTGTATTAAATATATAATACAATAAATTTTTTCCTATCTTATAATTGGTTGGATACTTTTACTCAACTAGACGTTAATTCAGCAACATCAACTTTGTATGATGCATTACACTTCTCTATTCTTCACTGGGTTCTACGTGTTAACTATAATAAATCTAATTTCCCTAGATGGTTTTTTAAGGATTTGATTGATACAGTGTTCCAAAAAAGAAAAGCCTACGCCATTTTTAAGACAACACGTAATTTACTCGATTACAGAAAGTTTTCTCTACTACTTGCAAAATACAAATTTTTATCGAAAAATTGTTATAGAAAATTTATTGAACAAACTGAATCTAATTTTTGTATGAATCCAAAAAAAATTTAGAACTTTGTTAGAAAGAGTAAATCTCAACAGTCAATTCCTAAAACAATTAATTTGAATGGGTTTACTAGTACTAATAGTATAGAAGTTGCTAATTTATTTTCTAAACATTTCTCTTCGGTATATGTGATATTGATAATATGTCGGTTTCCACATTTATATCATGATCTTCCAAGCAATTGTTTTTTTAATGTTAGTGGTATCGAATTAGAACTAAATAAATTGTACGGTAACAAATCAGTAGGACCAGATAGTATCTCTGGTGAATTTCTGTACATGTTACGTTCGTCTTTATCGTATCCATTATGGCTTATTTTTCGTAAATCACTAGATGAAGGTATCTACCCAGATCTATTTAATCTTGGTGCCATAACACCAGTACTTAAGTCTGGAGATAGTTCTAATGTTAATAACTATAGACCAATGTCATTATCTAGCCATATAGTCAAAATTTTTGATTTATTAGTATTGCATTCTATTAAACCAGCTATAAATTCGATTTTAATTAATGAGCAACATGGATTTCGTCCTGGTCGTTCAACGACTACAAACAGTCTAGTTTTTACATATTTGAGGATTTTATGAATCGCTCACAAGTAGATGTAATTTACACAGACTTTACCAAGGCTTTTGATCGCGTTGATCATAAGTTATTAATGAGAGTGCTGATAGATTCAGGTTTTGGTGAACCATTATTGTCGTGGTTTGAATCATTTCTACGAGATCGTAAGCAATTTGTTAAGGTACTTGGTATAAAATAAGACATTATTGATGTACCTACTGGTGTTCCACAAGGTAGACATCTTTCTCCCTTGTTATTTACATTATTTATCAATGATATTAAAATTCACTCGTTAACTGCCGTTTCCTTCTCATTGCTGATGACCTCAAACTATTTTTAAAAATTAATTCATTTAGGAACTGCTTATTATTACAGGACGATCTTAATTCTCTGGTAAATTGGGCTAAAAATCGTGAGTGGAGCTGAATATTTCAAAATGTCATTCAATGTCGTTTTATTGAACTCGTAATCATATTAATTACTTGTATAGGGTTAATGATAATATATTGTTATCTGAAATTTTTGGAGGCAAAACCAAATTAAATTAATAACCATCATACTTAATTTTTAAGGTTTTGATAACTCAATTAATCGTTTTATGTAGTCATCTGATTTTTAGCTATCTCAGATTAGTAGAAAACTAGGTGACCACCATTATCCACAGACTATCGTTCCCCAATCCTACTATAACGTTTAAGTTAACAAAGTTCAGCTATTTTAATTAAATTAATTAATTAGTTAATGAAATTGATAATATACTTACCACGTTAAACTTTTCTCTAAATAAGTTTCTCTTTCCCTCTATGAACACATTTAAATTAAAAAAAATAATATACTAGAGTATTAGGCGAAAACTTTAATTTTGCGAGATACCATTTACAATAAACATGGAGTACAAATTTAGTTATTGAATTAAAATAACTTGGGATTTTTTTGTGACTCGAAATAATTACAACATCGACATACAAGTTAATTGTTTCACTAACTTGTAACACCATTTTAACATATACCTATTTGAAATTTAATACATAAGTACGCAATTTAGTAAATTGAATTTACCTATATGCATCAAAGAACGATCCAATATAATCGNCTTACATGCATCAAAGAACGACCCAATATAACCCCGCGAAGACTTATGAAAATACGCGGGTCGGTGACATTCTGTCGACCCGACCACAATTGCGGTAATATGTATTGACAGGCGGTCGGTTCGTAACACGGTAACTATTGTATTGATAACGTTGGTCGTATACGATATCAAAAACCGACCCAGGTCGGGTATATAGACACACCGATTATTTTTTTACATTGTTTCATTATTACCAAACCTGATAGTATTAATTATTTATTGTGATTCTTTTGCAAATTGTTTTCAATTATTCATACAACTAAATTAAATGTTGCGTTAAACTTATAACAAATTAATTTATTGGTTAAATAATTTATTATATTAACATAAAATTAATTATTTATTAATTTTACTCTATTAAATAATTTGTTAGGATGTTTACTTTGCATATCCTTCAGTTATTGTATTAACATTTGACTCAACAAACAGACTTAACAAATTCATATAGTTAAAAGTATATAAATACATTTCATTCAATAGTGTTTAATTGTTCTAGCATGAGGTAAGTTAATATTTAATTTACTTAATTTGTTTATTAATTTGTAACCATTTTTTTATTATCTATAGTATAAATGGATAAGTTAAATAAATTTATTCGACCTATAGGATTACGAAGACGAACAAGATCAGCCAGTAGTGTTGGTAATTTAACTCATTGCTTTTATTTTTTGTATACAATATATATATAAACTTAGATATATTTAAATATATACAAATTTTATACTTTATGTCATAGCTTATCCTGGAAGTAAGGCTCAAAGTGATGATTCAAGTAGTAATTCTAAAGACGTAGGAATTTCAAGTATTTATCATGTGAGTATTGTAATTATAAAGATAAATATTTGTTCCTAATTTTCATTTAAAAATGAATGTTAAACATTAGAGTGACTCTGATGATATAAGTGGTGCACCTCAATCGGTTCCATTTGCTTTGCTATCAAAACATTTAATGAATTTGGAATCTGATTCTGTCAATGAAAATTTAACTCATGGTAAACCATTTACCAGAAGGTATAATAGTGCCACTCTTAAAGTTTATTATAAACATTTTAGAGTTAAATATATATATTGTTTTAGTTATTTTAATTAATATAATTCATTTTAAGGAAACGGAAATTTAAAAAAATGATAGTTGATCCAGATGTAAAATTTACTTCTCGTATTGCTACTGGATGTTCTCATAGCAGTATTGAAAAGAAAAGAACTACACGTCATTCTGCTAGTATGCCTAGGTATATAATTTAAAACTTACTAATTTTTCCCATCTTTTTTAATTTCAAAATTAAATTAATAAAATAAATGTTGTAGAAATTGTGGTTCATTAATATTAGCTATTGGCAAAAGGAAGCGTAGTAATCGTGAAGTTCTTACTAGTAGTAGTGTTCAAGGTACTTCTAGCACTAAAATAATGGATGTTGATATTGCAAGTAGTTCAAGTAGTCTAAGTTCATCTGAAAGTGAAACTGGAATATTTACTAATGATGAAGGTAGAGAAGGTAAGCTTAGTGTTAGTAGTAATTAAAATATAGCTACTGTATCAATATAATAGTAATTTTCAAAAGTATGATATTTTTCATTAAATATTTTAGGTGATGATGAACAAAGTGATTGGGTTGGTAATGCATATGGAGCTGGTGGTATAACTGATGATGATACTGAACCTATGAAAATAGATTGTCAAAGACTTTTATCTGTAAGCTTACAAAATAATGTTATGACGGATGGACGAGGACCTGGTCGACTTCCATTTTGGACAAGAAAAGTATTTTTCCAATTATTTTAAATTATATATATATTTATATTTTTTGTTGTGATATTTAGGCTGGAGATAGAGAAATCAGAGGCGGACTTCGTAGAGTAAGATCTGTTAAACCAAGTTTTTCTGTTTTGACTTCTGCTAATGAAAAGGTTTCTCAATTCTTACGAGATCCAGCCCAATCAGAATTAAGGTAAAAAATATAATGCAACCCAATGTATAACCTGATAAAAATTCTAATTATTGTGTTTTCATACAAATTTAAAATATATTAATCATAATTTTTTATTTTATACTTACCCAGACTGCATCCAATGCCTAAAAATGAACAGGACCAGCTATCTCATCTGGCAGAAATGTATTCTCTTCATATGCAACTCAATGATTCCCCAAAAAGAGGAGTTACACTTACAAAAACTGAGTATAATTTCAAAATTTATCCTTAAAATTTATGGCTTATTATTTATTTAATTGANAACTGAGTATAATTTCAAAATTTATCCTTAAAATTTATGGCTTATTATTTATTTAATTGATTTTTTTAGTAATACAATTCAAATGGACCTTGAAACTCCTTTTTCACGTCTGAATCCCTCTAAAGATCATAAAAGAAAGAAATCTGCATCTTCAGGTAATATATAAAATCTTAAAAATTGGAAGTTATTGTGTATTACATTATAATAAAATGAATTCATTTTTTTAGAACTAAATTTAGGTTTACATGCATTACACAATCAAGCATGGCAACCTATCATATCAGATGATAAACCCAGCACTTCTACTCAGAATTCATGTCCAAATGATTGAATGTGATACTTTCATATATATATTATTATATTTTAACTATCAAAATCTTACTATTAGCTTTAACCATATCTATCATTTTGAAGGCTTAAAAAAGCATCCCAACTTTCAATATGTTATTATTGTTGTTAAAAAGTGAAAATTGTTAATTTTTCAAATTAATTAATTATTTTTGCCCTTAATTGTTATTATTTATTATAAACTTAGATGATTACATTCATTTAGTTCAATTGATAACAAATTTTTATTTATTATTTTTTTTTAATTTATAATGTTAAGTAACAACTTTTTCAGCTCTAGACTATTACACTTGTATTTTTCCTATTACTACTACTTGTAATATCTTTGCTTATGCTAGTCTGATTTTTTAAAATACACATAAAAACAAAAAAACATTTTTCTCATAATTGTGACTATGATACTAATTAATATTTATTACTTATAGTAAATTTATCTATAAGTTTTAAAAATGGATGTATTTAAATGTTTTCATGTTTGCCGTCAATCTGAATGTATATCTTTATTTTACAATATACACAGCTTTTAATTTCAATAATTATATTTTATTACTTATAAATGGTTGAATTAAGCTAAATCTTAATTTTTTTTTCTATATAAACACCTTTGAAATGACTTAAATATAATACATCAAATAAATCTAATATTATTCTTTTTGTATTAAATAGTTTTTATAATTTCATATGGAAATTATTGATGGTATTTCAAATTGTTTTGAAAGTATATTATTTAATATCATCTTATTTATAATTATTTAGAAATTAAATTTAGATACGACTTTCTAAAATAGTTATTTTAAAAAGTCATATATACATTTTACAAGTTTATAGAAGTTGTTTATTGTATAATTATAATAAAATTCATACATTCAATAAACTCTAAAATTTTGAAGTTCTTAAATAATGTATAAAATTATATAAGTTTAGAACATAAATGAACGGAACATAATAAAATTTACATGAGAAAACAAAAGCTAGTTTCATTAAAATTTGAGTCATAGCGGATTAAATTAGATCTGTTAGACATATATACCGACTGATGATTCTAAGCTTGAAATATCCTTTTAAATACTTTCGATTATATTTTAAATAATTTAGATATTTTTTATGTAAATGTAATCTAAAATATAAAAATCATCCAATTAATATATATAAATTTTGCAGTAAAATTTTGATCACCACAAGCATCTATTCAGTAAACTTAGTCCCCTTTAAATGGATTTGGTTAAATGAAAAACCGATCACTGGCAAGCCGTAGTAAATAGTAGTATCTCTCCATATTTTAAGTTTAGGGACAGCTGTAATCGTTGAATAAAATCAATTGTAAGTTATGGCCTTTAAATGACTTTAACACCATAACCTATATATTATATACAATATTTTGAGAACCAATAGCTATATTTATCATTATTAAGAACCACTGATTGTGTATTCTAGAAAACCCACCAATCATGTACCAACTAAACATTGTTTTGTCATACAGGTAAAGGGTCGCGGTACCTCCAAACCGTTTTTTCCCGCTAAAATCCCTGTACAGTGCATAGCAATTTCCAACGAAATATCACTGTACCATACAGAGGTGCGAGATTTGTTGACACATTATTTTGTAACTAAAAGATTGAGTCTATTGTCTGCCAACAGATGGATTGTTATTGTTGTGAATTTCAGTGGTAATAAATACAGTTATTTTTCCGTTGAAATTCAAAATTTACATGTGATCTAACAGCTTTCAACTTAATAATTTAATTGTTTATCAGCTGACGAATTTTTCAAACATTTGCCGCCTAACTCACGTCCAACATAACGCGATTTTGGCGGCAATCCGTTTTGTCATAGCTCACGAGAGGTTAAAAAAGGTTAGTTTATTATTGACGATTAATGATCATTGTTGACATATATGGTGGATTTATGTCATGCTATTAATTATTACCTTACAATATTTCACTTCAGTGTAACTAATTTAAATTTTATCAAGCTAACGTTGTTAAACATTTTGTAGAAATCAGGTGTTAGCATCCAAATTTTTTAGAAGTAATTTTATTGATCAGTATCTGATACTAAATGAAATTTTGTGAAAATTATGTCAAGTGTTCAATAATAATTTAGAAGCCAAAATTTCAGAGTAATAGTGTGCACTGTTGATGTTTTCATTGTTTTTGCAAAATCATCAAAACATTTTTGATGCCGCTATATTATTAAAATACGCCGGTACTAAGCAAAAAAAAACACTTGTTGAAGTTAGCCAATCATATTTCTTTTAGGTAGGCATTACTTTATCTACTCACGAATTAAGTGCCAAATTTCAGCATAGTTTTACTAAATTTTTCTATTTTTTTAAATGTTATGAAAGTTCTTAAAATTTATAAACTATACAAATGAAGCTATTAGGTGGTTCTTTGATTACTCATAAATAATTATTAGGAATGATTTATCTATTACTTTTATTTTACTGCTCTAAGTTAATTTATTTTATTATTTCAGACTATTATTATTATGGAAACTCCTCCATTTAATCCAGAGCCAACAAACCGAATTATGACAAGGAGTGTATTAGCTGAAATACCCACTAGACTTGGACGTTTATCTATGACTGATCCTAATCAAGGTAATTTAAATTGTTTAATATTTTATATAATCAGGGTTGGAAAAACCCAATTTTTTTTTATACCCAACATGTTAGGTTTTTATACAGAAAGTCCAAAAACCCACAGGGTTTTTCAATCAACCAATTAACCGAGTATTTTTGTAGAAATAAACCTGACTTCAATAATAATTATTTTATGGCATAAAGAAGCCATTTTTAATTTTAAATAAAAACATTTATGGATAATCATTTTTTTTTTATACTTCAAAATAATATGCAAAAAAAAGAATCTCAGTTTTTAAACAATTCGTCTGGATTTTTTTTGTCAACCATAATGATAACACATTCTTATCCTTAACTTTTTAGTATTAAGTCATTACTAGTTAATTATAGTCTTATCCATCTTTCTAATAAATTAACAAACCCATTTCAGTATTAGTTTATTTCTTAAGCTTGTGTTCAAAAAGGATAAGTTCAAAATTGTCAATGATATTAAAGAAGTAATATTTATAACCTATTAAAATGTTTCTTTATAAATAAATCCTAGTATAATCTATTCCTTTTAAAATGAAATTCATCTTGAGCATTTCTTGAATTAATTGCTGTTGTAACTAATGTACAAAATAGTCTCCTAACATTTTTAATTTTTATTTAACAATAAATTTATCTTTTTTGTTGTTATATTGATAATTTTACTATACCCTATAATTACATATATACCATAATGATTAATAATCGATACATTACATTATCAATATCAATAATAGTAGTTTTGTCATGTTTTTTATTTGGATAGTGCACTTAATATCGTTCCAACTTCAATTTGTCTTTTCATGGATAATTTGCTTATATTTTAGATAAGCCTGTATTTGCTTCGTTTTATTTTAGGTATTGTAAATTCTTATATAAAAAAACTCATATTTGATTTGAACTTGTCTTCTTGAATCTACAGACTGTTATGGAATCAAACTGTAGTTTTCAGCTGTTTACATTGCGCTAAAAAAATTTTCTTCGGAAGTAAACTTATACAATTGAAAAAAAAAATCAAAGGTGTGATTCATCAAAAAATATGTATAAATTCATATTATCTTTCCTTTTTAATTTAAAAAGTGACAATTCTTGATTTATACAGTTCCTTTAACAATTAATTTGTGTCATTTTTAAATTAATATACTCAAAAATTGGTACATTTAATTATTATATAACTATAAAAAAAAAAAAAAAATTATTTTCTTACATCATATTTGACTATTTTATGACAATTAATTTGCTTATATCTAATATTTCAACATGTAATATATTCATTTTTTGGCAAGAGCAAAATTTTACATGATTCTAAATACTTTTTTTATTTTGGTTTTTAACTTATAAGTCATAGGCCAAAATGTAATATGTAATGCCTGTATAATAATATTTTTGCACATTATGTTTTTTAAATTAATTAAAAGTCTAAAAAGATGTATTTCTTCCAAATTTTCCCTACTTCAAAAGTTCTATATAAGAATAAATCATTTAAATAAAAGTTTGAAAAGATCTTTCAGTAATTATAACAGCAGAAGTAACCATATCCCATTAGCATCCCTTATAGAATAATTATGTTATCTTAAATGTTTTATCATTTTTAATCAAAATTGTCGTCCAATTAATAATCTATAACATACTTAGAGTAGGTAGGTATAAGAACCAAAGGTTTTGTTGCTTTTTTTTCTAAAAATGTAAATATAATTTTTGTTTTATTATTTTAAAAATATAAATGTATGATAAGAAAACCCATGAAGTTTAAAGTAATTTTTTGGTTTGATTATATACTTAATTTAACTATATTAGGTGCATTATAGATATTCAGTCACATCTATCATATAAATAAGCAGGAATGTGTTATCAATATGAACACAAATTAATATTGCTCTAAATCAAATTTAAATGTTTTATTTAAAATCCCTTATTTAATGGCACTATCCCTGTCATTTCTTAATTCTTTTCTAATTTTATTGCTTTGTATATTTAGGTCGAACTGATCACCATGTCAATATTATGAATACAACAATTGCTAATATGCCTACTTCAATGATGACTCCATCTCCCAGTCCTGATGAACTTATAATACAACAACGTGGACGTCGTAAAATACCAGTGACTTTTAGCCCTGATATTGATTCTATTAAACAAGTAAAATTTATCAACTGTTTTTTCTATTAGATATTAATATAAAATATTCATAATAGTAATTGTAATTACATAAATTTTAATATTTTTACAAATTCTTCTTCTCTCCTCAAAGGCTTCTTGCCTTATGGTTCCCAATTAAGTGTGTTCTTCGTTATTTCATTAAATCTCTAAATCTATTCTAACCAGATTATTTTTCATCGTTCAAAAATTTACTAAAGGAATTTTCTTTCTTGAACTGCCAGTTTTTTTCATCCCCCTTTGGTTTTGACCTAGTTTTACATGTGTATAAAAATATTGGCTTCACTAATATCTTTTATAATTCTGATATTTTTGATAGCTACTTAGATCCAAGAGATTTCTGTGATAAAAAGTAGAATTTATTCCTAGCTTTAATCTGCAATCTAATTTCTTTGTAATAATTATTGTAACTATTTATTTCATTACCAATTATTTTAAATCTACCTATTCAAAACAAATATTCTCAACCCTTAAAACTCTATTTTATTCCAGTGTATAAGCTCATAACTACCATATATTTAGTTTTTTCTTCATTTATCATTAGTTAAATTTCTAGTGCATTGGTAATCAGTTCTTTCATAGTATTCTTTATGTCTACTTTATTTCATCTTATTATTTTTCTTTGTTATCTTGAACTTTTTTTATAAATTCTTCTTGAGCAACAAGGTATCTCCTTGTTTTAGTCTTTTTGTAACATCAAATTCTTTTGAATTATTACCTTTAAATTTGATTTTCATTTCAATTAGTGTACAGAATGTTATTAATTTTACAATAACTTGTTTCCTCTCCTTAATACTCTTAGGTATTTCTATCACTTCTAATTTCTTTTTACCTCACATGCATTGGTATTGTTTATGTTTTTCTTTATTTTTGGTTTATATGAATGCCTTATCTCCTTAGAATTTTTGTAGAATACTTTTGTGTCTTAATATGCTTCTTCTATTAACTCGACTTAATTACTCTTTGCATTTCATTTTGTGCCTGGGTTTGTTATTTTTATTTTCCTCACATTTTTTCACAATAACTAGAAGTTATGCTTTATACATTTCTTATATTGATTTCTTGAAGTTTTTTTGTTATTCTCGATAATGTTATATTTCATCTTGTCTTTTAACTCTTTTTTTATTTATTAAATATCAGGTGATTTTTTAGTTTATCTATGTTAGATCTGTGTATAGTTTTACTTATTTAGTTCCATTTTATAGGTAGTTTTATGCATACTTTCACCTTAACTAGAAATTTTTTTACAAATTAATGCTATTAATTATTATCAACAGAATAATCAAGAAACTCCTACAAAATCAAGCTCTTCTATTTTGAACAAGAGTTCTATTGTTCTTAGAAGTACACCACGGAAGAGATTACTACTTAATGATCCATTAGAGCTATCTTCACCTGATAAGTATAAAATTGTATGTATTTAAAAAGTAACACACTTTACATAATTTTTATTTATTAAAAATGTATTACTAAAAATAATTTATAACTATAGCTATTATAGTTTTACAACAATGATCAATTATTTTTAGAAATTCATATTTCTATAAAAAATAATATTTTTAATTTCTTTAAGTAACTTGCTCTTTAGATTATTACTTATTATTTTATAGAGTTCACCTAATTGTAAAAAATTTCGTACTGAATTTGCTGTTGAACTGCCTGAAGATAATTGTATATTATCAGCACTAAAAGCTTTATCACCAGATCAGTTAATTGGCGTTATTGGACAAATTGTGATTGACCACCCAGAGATCGAAAAAGTAATTCGTGTAATTTAATTTTTAATGCCATTGATTTTATATTTGTTGTTTTTTATATATTAATAGGAAATAAGATCTCATTTTCCAATTGCTGATTTAAAACCCTTAGAAGAGCGGATTTATTATTTGCGTCGTAATATTTATAAGGCATTGCCAAGTAGTCGATTGATTTCTAAAACAGATTCTACTGCATACAATAGGGTTTCTACACATGTTCTAGCATTTAAAGTATATTAATATTGTTATAAATGAATCTTTAAAAATTATTTAATTTTATTGTTTGATCTTTTTTATTTCTAGAAATGTGTAGTTGATCAAGGAAGACGTTTAGTTGACAGTAATCAATGGTCCGTTGTAATGGATTATGTGTTTATGGCTTGGAAACATGTTCGTAATACTCCAGTGTGGGATAACCCGCCACATAATGCTGCACGACGACAATGCTTCAAGTCATTGTCTGCATTGTGTATGACAGCATTGAAGCACATGAAGGAATCTTTAGACTTGAATAAACTTGAAAATTACAAAAGCCAGTAAGTTTTTAAAGAAATCTATTTAGAAACGGTAATTTAAAGAGATTTAACATTTTTATTAAATAGATTGAAATTACTAGTTGATGATAGTGAAGATATAGAATCATGTTTGGAGTTTTTAAACTACAATTAATTTTAATTATTTATAACAGTACTAGTTTTATTTGTACTATACAGTGATGACTTTTATCAAGTTACTGGTTCATGGCAACTGTCTTGAAGTCAAAACTAGTTATGTAATATTAATTTAAATACTAGTAAAATTATTTTTATTATATTAATTTAATGTTTCTAAATTGTATGTGATTATTAATTGTGTTTTATTTTTAATAATAATAATCTATTAAAAAATAATTTCATTAACATTTCCCACCTATTTAATATATCAATAAATTATTTACATGCATTTTAAATGTTAACACAATTTAATATAAAATCTAACTTGTTTTTCTTTTTATATTTATTGCACATTTTTTCACTACTTAAAAAAAAAAAATTTCTAGCTACCAATTTTTAATTTAAATTTTAGTGTTGACTTGAGTAGTTTTTATCACCAAAATGTATTTCTTTTGGGAATTACTTTAATTATGTTAAAGAAGTGTATTGATTATACACAGTTATTCGTGAATAAACCATTGTGTTATGTATGTTTCTTTTTGTGAAGACTGTCATAAGTACTGTTTAATATTTTGAAAGTGAATGTAATTGTAATTATTTTTGACTGTATAGTTAATATAACTGGCATAATTTATTTTAAGATTATAAGAATATTTTTTTTTGTTTAATATATGAATGAATTTATTTTGTAAGTGAAATTAATCTATACACAATTATCTTCATAATAATCTTAAATATTGTAAAAACTTATTCATTAAATGGTATTTTATAAATTATAATAAATAAATAAATTGAAGTACAATTATTTTAAACATACCTTATTTGTTGAATAAAATTGATCGTTTTATAAATTCATAATTTAATATTATCATAATAATATTCAAAATTACAAGAATTTAAATAAATAATATATGTATTTTGTTTTAATGAGTTTTATAAAATTAAACTTTTTGAAATTCAAGGAAATAAAACAAAAACAAGTATAATTAAAATAAAAGCTATTAACAATCTTCTGCCTTACTAACATTAATGGAATGATGAAAACAATGATTTTTTTTTTCTAAATTATCTAGTCAAAAAATCTAATATTACCATAAAAAATATAATTTATGGTAGTAAAAAGAAAAAATTTGTGACAATTTATAATATTTTACTTGAAAATTGGAATATAATTGTCCATACGGGCACGATGTTTTTGAGAAACGCATTCAGATATCCATACAACATTTCGACATTCTTGTTCTTTTAATTTCAAGTATGAGTAAAATACACCATAATGGAATTGACGCATGAATGCATTGACGTTTAGTTTAACTTCATACTCAAAGAAACGATCTTCAAGAGTTTTCTCTCCAGGATTAGTACCAGCTCCATCAAACAAAGCACTATATTCGGCAAAATATTCAGCAACAGCTTTCACCTAAAAAATATATCATTAATTTAATTCCATAGGCATTTTTATTGCTCTAAATTACTTGATCATAATCATCAGCTCTAGCTAAAGCTGCTAGACCATCTGGGTTAAGTTTACCACATCTCGGGTATAATTTGGCTCGATCATCTTTTGTTAACTCTGTACCAAAAGAATTTATAGTTATATTAATAGCTCTTCTATCTGCTTCAAAAGATAATATTTCACACATAGTATCAGCAGTTATTCCTCCTAACTTCTTGCAAAAGTCATAAAAAGATTCTAAGTAAGCCTTGTACAATGTATTACGAATAATTTCAATATTCATTTCATCAAGATCCTGTTCACTTATACAATCAACAAAGAATGGAGCCAATGGAGTATCTACAAGAACAGCATTATAAAGTTCAGCTGGGTTACCAGCTACATGAATAGCTTCCATTTGTTCAAAGCTACCCAAAGGATGACATTTTGGAATAAGTTCTGTAATTGGACGCTGATGTAAAGTACCAGTTATAAGAAGTATAATATTATCAATCATATAACTGTAAGTGATATAATCTAGAAATGTACTGAGGGGTTCTACAGCATGATTTCTCATATGTTGAAATTCTATAACAAGTTTTTCTCGTAATTTATCATCAATTACAGATACAGCCAATGGACTGGGTTCATTAGCTAAGAATTGACCATAATCAGTTGATTGTAAGTGCAATTTTAAATCATCCAAAGTCTCGCATTGCTCAAGATTAAGATAATCAGCATGTTTCAATATGCCACATTTGAAACCACGGCATAAACCTTCTAAGTATCCTCCGTCAATATTAAAGAAGCATCCAGTGTCCACCATTATGTTAATTCTGAAAAAATAAAATTGAATTGATTAAAATATATGTACACGCCCTGTTTTACAAAGTTTAAATTAATAATCAACTGACTTAATAAGTAAACAATGTAGTTTAAATAATTAAAAATATAATACACAGGGTAATCTAAAAACTTACGTTTAATTATTAGTTTAATACTGAGGATAAATACAGGCCAAGAAGTTTTATTGTTAAGGAAGAAATTAAAATAAAAAATGATCTATACAAGTACAAAATAGTACACACCTTAATTTTTATCATACAATTGCAATATAGATTACAAATATTGAACAATTAATTAAATGAAGTTAGTAACGATTTATAAAATGTATTTCAATAGATAACCAAAATGGTGTTCTGCATTGTTTACTTATAGATCGTGCTTTAGTCGCTTTCAAGTGCCAAAGTAACTGGTATGCTAATAGTATGCAAATACTATTGACTCGTTTAGAAAAGTCTAAATTGATCGGTTCGAGTTTTTCGCATTTTGTATAGACTAATCGAGTCTATACCGTTTCTATATTTAAAATAAACTTTCTTTTACTGAAGAAAATTTTTACATAACTGAAAAACAATTTTCAGTTTGAAAATTATATCATCACTATTTTTTGTCTTAAAAGGTTATTAACAATTTACAAACTATTTTTGCAGACACGTTAATTCTATGTTATCTGATCATAGTACCAAGGAGTCAGAAATAATTTATTAACTCATTTAAATTCCCTCTCTGAATTCATTTTGAAGGGTTTCATGTTATACTATTAATAGTGACGTATTTTAAAATGTAGCGCCTATTACGTCTAACAAAATGATTTATAGACACATTATTTAACGAAAAAATGTCTTTTAATAGTGAGAAAATATACAACAAATACCATTTATTTAAATTCTTTGAATATGACAATACATATTACCAGTTAATCGGACATAAATTGTGAATTGTAGTGAGTTACCTTTTATATTAAGAATTACTAACCTGTTCAAACGTTTTTCGTTCATTCAAAACATACTGTTTTTAGTGTGAACTTCTACGGATCAAATTATTACTACATTGCATATGACATTTAATACGTAATACTATTTTGAATTAACAAGAAAATGCTTCTTTCAAGTTCTATTGTATAGTAAAAAAGTTAAATTGTTTTAAAAGAAATATCCAGACTATTTTTAAAATTATTTGTGTAATGATTTGAATGGCAAAGAAATATGGGGATTTCCGTACAAATGATGAAGTATTTTTATGTTTAAATTACGTAAGTAATTTTAATTGTTTTATGAATAAAAAATAATATATTACATAAAATAACAATTTAAACTGTAAAGTAGAAACTAATGATGGGGTTATGTTTTCCAATTCTACAAAACCCGTTGAAATAATCTACTACTAGATTTCTTTTTAGGACACTAGTAATTTTTAGTTAGAAAAATTATCATTAAATAATTGACTAAAATTAAAATAATTCGCACACACCAGTGACGTAATTAGGAGATTGCCATGGGAGTATTTACACCTACCCCATCACACCCTCAAAACTATACCATTGACCATCAATATATAGACTAACTGTAACAGTACATTCTACGAACGTTATCATCTCTAATTTTTCCGGCATCTTGACTGCAATGAAATCGCCTTAAAACTACCATTGCACACAATAATGTTTTTCTCTCGATAACTCGTGATAAAATTAATAGTTATTTCGTTATGTCAGTTAACACAAATAACATTTTTATCACGAGAATAATAGGAATTTTACATTGGGTATAATCAGTCAAGTGATTGTTCGAGTACATATAACATCGAAATGGTAAATAATAAACGTAAATTAAATGCTCTTATTATTTCAGAAAAAGTTTGTTTAATAGATTTAGTTGAAAAGGATAAACGTAAAAATGTGAAATCTCCAAAGAGTTTAACATTTCACCGTATACATTATCCTCAATTGTGATATAAAATTATAAAATTTTAATATTTCATAATAGTGACACAAATAAATGCTTAAATTGAATTAAAACTTTCCAGAAATTTTAGCAGATTTTTCTTGTAATGATATTTTAAACGTGAACGTAACAGACTTATTTTTTAATTATATACCACATAAAACTTTAACGTGTTAAAGACAAATAATGTTCAGGTTGAAAATATGGATAACAATGACGTTAGGAGTAAATATGTCTGAAACAGAAAAAATCATTAAATCATTTATTATTGGGGTAAAACGATGAAACATAGGTGATTTATATGAATTAAATCTATACCAGTTGACTATGAGTCAAATAAAAAGGTTTGGATGACTTCATCATTAAGTGAGTGGCTTTTTTTAGAAAGTACTATAGGTATGGAAGGAAGCGCTTTTTTTTCTTTATCAATATTAGAAAACATTATTAAAGAGAAAAGCAAGAAAAAACAAACTGTAATGTCAGATTATTTAAAAAATAATTAATTTAACATTATGTATATATTTGACGGCGATTTTATAAATCCTTTTTTATTTTTATTAAAACTCAATTTTGAATTTTTTTATTTGTTGATTGATCGAAATACTTTTTGTTCGCCTTGAAATTCAACATAACAAGAGTCTACTGTATTAAAATACTTATAAATAGATTAGTACTTATCCTAAAATTATCATCGACCCACAAAATGCTTTGTAAGGAAATAATAAATAATGGCTTTAAAATTTATTTTAGTACTCCTCATTGAAAATATTCTAGAGCCACACCTGTTTTTAATTATTTTGGGCGTTATCATTGAAATTGGAATATTTATTACTGCCAAAAGAATTAGGTTAGATATGATTCAAAGGATTGCGTTGAACTACGCAAAAATGTAAATAGTTACAATTTATAAAAAAATAAAAGATATTTAATTGTATACCTATATCTAGATAGATATATAAACTAAATGAATGTAACATTCTCTTTAAAAATCACATCTTAATAATAAAATATAACATAAAATAGGTATCAAGGTTAAAGACGTAGTAACTCATAATTTTTATTCGAAAGTATTTACTATTCACATTAATTCAGGTAAAGATGTAATCTTTTGATACACCGTCAAACAGAGCCGCAACTTCCATAATAATGGTTGAGCTCGGGGTCAATAACATTTATTGATCTTAAAAATACAAGTTCAAAAATGATTTCTTAACATTTCATTTTATTTTTATTCAAAGGAACAAATATAAAAATTGTATGTACCGACATGTCTCAGGCACTATGTAATCAAATGTAACCACATATAGGTGTGGTTCCAGTAAAAGAATTAAGTTGAAATGCTAGGTTTCATTTAAAATGAAGTGTAAACGTTTTTTAAAGATAAAAACACTTTTAGTTTTTATATATTTAATTCGTATCTTCCTAAAAAAAAAATATTTAAAAAAATTTTCCATTGATTGAAGTTTTATTGAAGGTCTTTATCTCGAACTCTTGATAATTGAGGTCAATAATTAAGAAGGCAGAAGCTCTGGAACTTATGGGTAAGTAATCTAAAACAAATTTTAAGAACTAAATTAACGGAAAATAAGCAAATTATGACATTTTATTTTATACTCATAATTTTATTATTTGAACAGAGGTATTTAATAATGGCGTTCTTCTACCTATACTCTTCATGTCTTAATTCGGTCACGAAGAAGCTCATAGACATATTGATGAGTACCCATAATTATTGTCTTAGATTATGGATAGATTACTTCGATCTGAAAACGAATAGTTTTATAAGCATTCAAAATATTAGAATGTATTCTAAAATTTAGATATATTTCGAATATTGTCACTGCATGTGACAATTAACTTTTCTTTTTGGCTCGTACATTTATACAGCTTATATCCAGATCTTTGGAGAAAAATAGTTTTAAAATTATCCTTAGAAACGATTTGTTATTATTTTATTCTAAATAATTAGTTTTTTTTAAAACATTCAAGTAGTAAATTTTCCATTGTTGTCTTTACAAATGTGATTGTAATTTTGGGAGCAGACATTTTTTCAAAATTGTATATAGATTGATGTCTAGCAATTTTATTTTGTTACTATAGAAAATATTTTTTAATACTATTAAAGGGTGTTTATTTAGGCATATATTATTTATTTTTAAGATGTTTATGTTTAATATTAAATATTAAACATAAACACAAATTTTGTGTTCATTAATATTATTGGGAGGATTTAATAAATGCATTATCAAAACATGTCTAATAAACTTTTTGTTAAGTAAATCATATTTTTTTGTTAATTTAAGCACTATTTTTATTAAAAAAAAAAAATGATCAAAATAACAAATATTTCATTAAATCAACAGAAAAGTGGGTTCAATTAATAAAACTAATATTATTTATCTAACAAAAATATTATTAAACGTAAATCGATAAAAAATTTGTTAATTTTATTAAGAGGAGAAAAAATTGATAATTTTCTCGAGGTTACAAATATCAATTATTTAAAAAATTTTTTTATCTTTTTAGGCCTATTAATGGCCATAGCGACCTTCCTAAAGAGAAGATTTTTTTAACCATTGATACACCAGCGCGGGTGGTTAATACATTGTTGGAGAGACGTGAGTGACTCCAATTTCTGAACTGATCTGTCACTTGATAAATAAAGTCGCCATGATTAAGTTTCGAATCTAAAGCGCAGTGCGTATGAAATATTGTCACGACACCAACTCGACCACTTCGTCCATCATTTTTTTAAATTACTGTTTTGATATACGCGCAATCTGAAGAGGCTTAAACTCCTTAAAATATGCCATAGCCTTCCTCGCCCAGAAAAAAAAAATTATAAAAATTACATGCAACTTCATGTGAAAATATTTTCATATAGTAAAATATTAAGTTAGACCTCCCAAACATCTTAGTCAATAATTTACGCCTAAATAGACAATCTAAATTTTTTTAAACGGACTATTTTATTCGTACAATATACTATACTAAATAATGTAAATATAAATACATGTATAGTTGTATATATTTATTTTATATTTTTCTATATTTTATATGTTATCAAATAAATTTAATTCTTCGCAGTTAAATATTTAAAAATAATACATTACAGCACAATAATGATTACTAATTAATAAATAATTTTTATGAAACACCCACTATTTGAAATAATTGATTGATTGAGTGATCGACTGTTATGTATTTTCATAAATAAAATACATTTATATGACTTAGATAGTGCGCTGATAATAATGTAAATTCATGAATTTTACACTTGAGCAAAAGTTTATATATTTCAATCAATACTCAACCTTGTAAGAGATAAAGGAAATAACTATCAATTTGCTAAAGTATTTAACTAAATATTTAATATCTAGTTTCCTATTGGTCGTTTCAACAATATACATACAAAGCATAGTACCTAAAGTAAATTAAAGTACACGTAAAATAACAAAATTATCATCAGAAAAATAAATATAAAACGCTCTAAATTATTATTTAACATTATGGTTAATTTATCCTTTATTATTTGTTTAGTGCGTTAAATGGTTAAAAAAATTTCAATTTACAATAATGAGTTTATTTATGATTATTAAGAATTCATATAAATGTGTTCTCTATTTATTTAATCCAAAATAACATTGCTAAATACGGGTCAAAGTACTTATTTTCATTTGTCTTAAAAATAGTTTGATACATAGATGTAAAAAATTTATCCAAATCAAAAAATTTAATTAATAGAAGTTTTCTTTTTTAGCAAAACTTACTAATAAATGTTTGTTAGATTTTATATTTTAAAATTAATTTTTATTGTTACATAAAATATTTTTCTTCAATTTTAGAAGTATTACATTTTCTTGAGGTTTTTACATAAACTTATTATACAGGGTGTTAAAAAAGTAAGAAAACAGGTCAATCGTTACAAACAATGACAATAATAAAAATTCCTTCCTTTAGTTACTGAACTGAATATGTTGTTTTATGAATTTTAAATAACACATTTTTTCTTTAGCAATAAAACTTTTTCAAAGAATTCAGACCAATATTTTAATAATAACAATCCGGGTATGAATCTTTTGACTCTAATCCCCAACCATAAAACAATAATTTATGACAAAATTTTCAGAGTTTCCCAATTTATTGTTCATTATTAAATTTGCACACAAGGCAAAAACATCTCTTACTGTTTAATCGTAAATCCATTTATATAACACTATTTTTAGTATATTATTTTTAAAGTACACGTGTGATTTGTCTCAAAATAAATATGTTAAGTTATACATTTTTTTTTTCAATTTTCAAATTTACATTAATTATTTATTTTAATAGCAAATTTTATACTCGTATTAAGTATGCCAAAGTTATAAAATTATATCCTTGAAATTTTTAGAAGAAACTTTTTGAGTGATGAAAAATATTTTTAAAGCCTAATCAATTTTTCAATTAATATTTAACCGACAGATCATTTTTTTTTAATCATAAAGTACATTTTAAAGGTTTTTAATTATATATAAGTTTTAATTTGTCAGACGTTCCAGAACATTTTTAAAATTTAAAAACAAAACTATTTTTGGTGATAAATATTGTGTTTTTTGTTTTGTCATCCGATTTTATACAAAAGAATAATTATTGAGATCATTTTTCATCAAAAGCAATGGCAATAGGTTTTTCCTGTATTGAATCACAAGTAATAAAAAATAAAGAAATCATATTTGTTATGAATTATGTAAATCATATTTATTTAATTTTACTAAAAATATATTTTCTGAAAATGTTGAATTTGCTTAGTTGTTTTACAAAGCTCTTCAATTCGTTTATAAATAAAAATAAAAATGTTTTTATTAAAATTCTGTACTTAGCGTACATATCAAAATTTGTCAAAAATATATTTAATTACCAAAAAAAGTACATAAATGTCCAATAAATTATTAAAAATACAAAGTTCTACGTATCAAAAACTGAACAAAAATACTTTTAAAATGATCCAAAAAAGGTATTATTCATAAAAATAATTAAATAATACACTAAAAAATGTATAAACGTATACTGTAATATATAAATTAGATTTTGTGCAGGACGAGCTATGCACTAAAATATTACTAAAAAAGTTGCAAATACTACAAATTCTAGTCCTAATCAGTGGTGTTATGTGTCATTACCATAAAATAATAAAACTTATGTACTATTTATATTATCCTATTAAGCATTTATTGCAAAAATACCACTAGCTCTATTTATTACAAACTAATAACATATATTAACAATTTTTTTTTTTTTTTAGTATTCAATTTATATATCTTAAATCAAATCAAATTATTAATAACAATAAATGTTGAATACATGAATTTTTTTCAAACATTTATAAACTTGACCAAGTTAGTATATGTGAACTGAGGTTATTTGTATATTACTTAATACTCTCTACTTTTAGTTTAAGACTTTAATAATACTAACTAACGAATAATTTCAGAGTTAAGTAGAATGCGTTTTGATATTATACTCGGATATGAACCACCGCATTCGTGATTCGTTAAAAAAAGTACTATAAAAATTCACCTCTAGTCACGAAGTTCCATAATCGAAAACGGCACAATTATACGATATTAGCGTATGCGAGATGACTATTTTATTTAATGTTAACGTGCAAGTAATTAATTTGCGTCTGAATTCATAGAAAATTATGCAATTAAAATGGTAAAGTGTACTTCACGGCTTGTAAAAAATATTACGCAGGTATATTGCTGTTAGCGTATGGGGAAATTGTGGAAAAAAATACATCCGTTTGTGCGTTACCTGCACGTCGAATGGGTTAAACAGCGGCGGCAGTATTTTTGATGAAAAGGGACTGGGAGGTATAAACACGAAGTGTGATCGTCGTTTACCGCGGCGGCCGCAAAATAATATTACTAATAGTAATAATAGTACGACAATAAAGACGGCAGCCGCCGCCTCGATGTGGAGTGGCCACCAACGTTCCGACCACTACCCACAACAGAGCCGAGCTGCAATTGGCCGAGGAGCCGTTCGACGGGAGGGGCTCAAATCCGCCTGTTTTGTCGGTCCCAGTTTAGAGGCACGAATCCCACACGACCTAAAAGATATCTTGGCACGTAACGTGCTCACGACGTTCGCATCAGTCCTTCTTATCGATCATCACGCTTAACGTAATACGTTCTTTATTAAATTTATTTGTTAATTGCTGCGTTTCAAAGTTGTGTCGTCTATTTGTTGAGTTCGATTATGATTTTTTAATATAAATGAAGAGAAGTTGCGTTTGTTCGAACAAAGTTTAATAACATCACTAAGATTGTTTGTACTTTTTCGAATTTTGAGCGAGACAATTTTTTGTGCGTTCCATGTAGTAAAAAAATCATTCAGTGTCAATTTGTATATTTTTAACTATTTCAATGGTATGATCAGCCACACACAGTCGAAATGAACGAATCTGTGACTATCTGCAGACAGCTACAGGCTCCGGTATACCATCACAGTAGTGTGCCGCAATGTACGCCCGCCGAAGAAGGCACCGAAGCCCAACAGCCCGTTGTAACTGTGTCCGGAGCTACTTGGACACCTTACGGCCAGTCGGCTACCGCGACCGCT